CGTTGGGGCTTTTCGGGGTTCAGGGTTTGCGGTTTAGGAGTTTAGGGTTTAGGCGGTCGTGGTTCGCGTTTAGCACTCAGATTATCTTACCCCAGGCCCCTCCATGTACCATTAAAATCTGGCTATAAAACCATAAGTCTGAAACGCATTTTAGACGTTGAGGGCTGAAAAATGATGTCACTTAAGGTCACCGGCAAGGATGAGTTTTAATTTGAAGCTGGGGCTAAGAAACGGTTTAGGGTTTAGGGTTTAGGGTGGCTTGGGTAACCCTTAAACCCTGGAGCAGGCGTAAGGCTAGGGCGTGAAAATGAAGTTTTCGAACTCCGGACGTATCGGGCTTAGGGTGAAGTCTCTACATGCTTCAGGAATTTCTAGCCACCTTGTCGGAGGTCATCATGAAGTAATACAGGGGCACTCCAGTTTTCCGAAACTGTACACCCTAACTTTCCGGTTGCGTTGTTCATGCTTCTGGTTTGAATGAAAGTTCGGCAGTAGGGTTTACCTAGACCCCCCAAGTACCCTAAAATAGGGTCTATGTACCTTCTATTTGGGGATACCTAGGGTCTATAGAGGGTACTTGGGGGGTCTAGGTAGGCTTTGGGCGTTTAGGTTGCAGGGTTTTGGGCTTTGGCTTCGGGCATGATATGATGGTTTGGCTGAGAGACGCTAGGCCTGTAAGTTGCGAGACCCAAAACCCAATGCCCCAACCTTACAAGAGTAGTGTTTGTTTTGGTGAATGTACCTAGTAAGATAATATTCCTTATATAAAATACTACACCCAAAAGGAGGATATAATCTTACTCTATAATGTGTACCATAGTATCCACTCACAAAGGGTTTAGGGTTCAGTTAGGGCTTAGGATTTACGGTTTAGGGTGTAGGTAGCCCAAAGCCAGGAAGTTTTTCGCGCTTCTTCGCAGATTCTCCAGCCAGGTCACCCCCAAATGCGGATCCCATGGAGGACGGTTACGCAAGGGTTTAGGGTTTAGGGTTTAGGGCAATTTGATACTCGAATCCTCTTTTGGGGACAACGGACCACCCAAGGGACTCAACATCCGTTTCAGGAAAGAAGGATGCTGCGTGAATACCCTACGCCCTACACCCATCAGCTTAAAATGCCCAGACACCCGTTGCTGACCTCCCAAGCTCTCGGTCGGACCCTAAACCCAACTTTTCAAGCGGTGATTACAGGGTTTAGGGTTTACCTAAACCCCAAAAGTATGTAAAATAATAGCCCTAAACCCCTAATAATGGCCATAAAGGCTCATTATTTTACATACTTTTGGGGTCCAGGTAGGGTGTCACGGGTTTGCGGGTCCCCGTATCATGGCTAGACTTTTTGGCAAAGAAGGACGAAATAGCCCAACAGGTGTCCCGGGATTATGCCTTGGTTTAGGGGTTTAGGGTTTCCTTATTTGAGGCTGCGGGGTGGGGTGGTATGGGGTCCTGTGGGAAAGGCCGCCAAGTTTACTTGAACTTCGTCAGCACTTATGAGCCCCCAGAAGCCACATACCCCATCTATCCCTATAATTAACCTACTTAACAAGTCCCCCCCTTCAAGTACAAGTAAAACGTGAACCCCAAGCCCTGAACCCGAACCCCTGAACCCTAAGCCATATACAGGCCCGGAAAAGGGGACTTTTGCTAACCGCTGGAGCTAGTCCCAACGATTGGCACGGCTGGACATTCAGCCTTAGTGAAGGAGTTGAGGGCTTCGAGGGGTTTAGGGTTTAGGGTTAAGGGTTTAGGGTTTAGGGTTAGGGTTTTGATTGTTTTTGGGCTTAAGGTAGGGTTTTGTGTTTAGAGTTTTGGGTCTAGGGCTTACGCTTACGCTGGGGCTAAGGGTGTAAGGTAATGTTATGTAATGTTTATGGTTCAGGGTTCAGGGCTGAAGGTTTAGGATGTAGAGCCTACCTTTTCGGCGAAGAATCACGTGGAAAAGAAAAGGGAAGCGACATCGAAACCAGGGTTATATCGGGGCGTATAAGATGCTGCTTTAGTAATAAGATGACAACCCCAAATGCGGCCAACATGTGAGCTATTGCCTAAATTCCTACTATCCCCTTAAATGATCCCCTGTATAAAGCCCTATATAACCCGCAGAGGAATTTAGGCTATGGCTCACTTACGTGGAATCTTCAACGTTTAGCTCTCGCGCTGTCTCCGCGTTTCAGCACTCGGAGCTTACGGTGTAGGATGTGTGTCGTCAGACTGTTTGAACAAACATTTGAAATCCTATCCTACCCGCTCTAATACAGTATTCTGAAAAACTGAACCTTGAATCCAAACTCTAAACCCTAAAACGTACTGTAACCCTGAGCCAATCTTGAAGATATGTGGAGTGCGCGCCAGGCATCTCAAAAATCACTTGTTGTACCAGCCGAGGGTGGGCTTGTACCTTGGTCTGCTCTCACAGGAATCATGGTACAGGGTTTAGGGTTTAGGGTGTAGGGTTTAGGATGGTTTAGGTTTTTAGGGTTTTAAGGAATTAGGGTTTAGGGTTTAGGGTAGAAACATTTGTGGGTTCCTGAAATTCGGGGCATCATTCAAAGTGGGGTATAGCGAGTAGGTTGGGCTTATAGGGTTGAGGTATTAGGCTTCCCAAAATTAGGCGTGCCATTTTGGGGTCCCAATAATCCGAATCATAGTAATGTGAGGTCTATATCGGGGTTCCCCTCTTTTTGGAAGCTAGCATGTGGCGGTTCCAGGTTAAAGTCATCTTACCAATAGTGAAGCCCCCAACTCCCCCAGTCCCTAATGTGGTAACACCATATAGTGGTGGAATATCATAATCAGGCAGGGTGGTGGAGGAATGTTGAACGGAATAAGTACAGCTGGCAAGAGCAATGCTAGGCCTATAGGCCTATAGTAACCACGAGTGCCGACAGAAAGAAGGAACAGCAGCAAACATTGAACATGGAAGATAGAAGTCGCTATGGCTTTTGTCAGGCATCAGGCAATGGCAACAGGACGATTCACAAAACATACATACAAATTCCCAAAAGCCGGCAACGCCATAGTACTGCCATACGGGCGAAACAGTAGGCTAAAATGAATTTGGTAGTTTCCCAAAATAGGGGGGCCCTAATCTACACACAAAAAAAACTGTGGACCCACAAAATGGTACCCCTAATTCCGGGAAACCCCATTTGTTTCTGAAGCTAAGGTTGAAGGTTGTAAGTTGTAAGTCCCTGGACCCGAAGCGCCCCAAACCCAAAATCATGGGTCCCTCTACTAACCCCCCCATACTTTTCCCACGAGTTGCCCCTGAACTAGCTTTTAGTAAGCCGAATTATCCCTAAATTACCTTAACTGAGTGGCAACATTGGGGGGGCTAGTAGGGGGATTCATGAAAAACCCCCACCCTGAACCCCAAAAACTAACTCCTTACGCTTTAGTCCCTAAGCGCTTAAACCAGAAACACCGAACCTAAAGCCCAAGCTCTACACCACAACCTCTGAACAGAGCCCCCCAACTACCCTTAACCAAGGTCTATGTAAGTCCCATTTGGTGACTTGGAGGTCTGGGTGATAGATCACACCCCAGTTAGGGTTTAGGGTTGGGTTTAGGGCTTTGGGTTTCCTATACCCCAAGACCAAAACCCCTAGCCCCAAGTAATACATCGCCAAGTGCGGGCTCAGCTTGTTGTCGTAGTAGTCACCGTTCCAGCGAAGGGGCTCATCGGACTCGGGTTTAGGATTCAGGGTTTAGGGTTTGGGTTTGGAGGGTGACCTGCTCGCCTGCCTGCAACAGAGTTATAGGGCGTTATAGGGGTTAGGGTTTAGAGTTTGGGCGAATACCCCAATGATGGAGAATCAAAGGGACAAGAAAGTGGACAATGGAATGGAAACTGGGTTCAGGTAAGGGCCTATCGGGATAGCTACCAATGTTAAGATGGTAAGTTTTGTAAATATTCTAGTGTAAGGTACATAATATAGTAAACCTTAAAATGACATGGGTAATCATTTGCGTGTCTGCATTGTGCAGCTGTGGTTTTGGGATGTGTGTGTTCGGGGTCTGGTATTTAGGGATTATACAGGGGTATATAGCGCTTATATAGTGGCATATAGTACGTAGGGCACCGTGTTTCGGGCTTATAGGGTTGTTTTGTTGTTGACAGGGTGGTATTTGGTGGTCTGTATGCAAGCACCACCAACATTTGGGGCATATCTTGTCGGTCCGCAAACCCATGATGTAATGAACGCGAATTGAATACTCTGTTTCAAGGATGTGCGTGAAACTGGCATTTTGCATCCTTGGACTGAAATCTGGGAAACAAAGATGTAGAGTTCTACTCTTGCAGGCTACGCGGAGCTCACATCGCGCAGGGTGTTTCTACACTAGAAAACCATGAAAACACTCGGCTCTGCATGCTATACCCAAAACCCTAACCCCGAACACTTGAAACCCTGAACCCCCACAAAAAAACTCTAAAACCGCAAATACAAACCACAAACCCTTATGAACAATTGACCCCTAAACCACGAACCTTTGTGCCTTTCGTCAACTGAGCCCCATAGAAACCTGCATGAACCCCGTTCCAATCTCATAGATCCCTGGGGTGCACACGTACCCTGAGGGTTGTAGCCCTGAAAGGATCCCATATCAACTGTAGTCTAAACTCCTTAAAGAGGGTTGTATAGGGGATTCTATCGGGGAGCGTTATACGTTATGGGGGTTATTGAGGGGTATACTAGGAGTTTAGACTATAGCGGTATAGCCCATATCGCCATGCTGCCCGTCAAAGAGCAATGCAATATAAAATCCCATTTTGTAATTTATGGTTCCTTAAGCTTGACAGGGATCCTGTCACCATGTGGGTACAACGCAGAAAGCCCTGATAGGGACTGCCCTCAAACCCTGAGCCCCAAATCATTAATCCTGTGCTATCCCTATTCAACCCTTACTATATCACGCTCATCTCCTAAAATAACCTGCTCAAAAAAACCTTAAGCCCAAAACTTGCCCCCTTCGGGGGCTGTGGCTTTGCGCCGAAGGACGAGCCCGTAAACCTTCTCGACTCGCTCCACGAGATCCTTGTTGTACTTCTCCCAGATTGGCTGGAAGGCCTTGGATTCCGGGCTGTGGGTTTAGGGTTCATAATTTTCAGGGGTCCTTTTAAAGGGTTATACAGGGTTATATAGGGTTCATGGAAACGCACATGGAATATATTCAGGGTTAGGGTTTGGGCTTGGGATTTAGGATTCAAGCTTTAGGGCTAGGGTGTAGGCATTGGGGGTCTAGGGCTTATGGTTTAGAATACAGGCAAGGCCTGTGTTTCTCAAACTAGAATGCCAAATTTAGAGACGTTAGCTATTGATATATGGGAACTGATAAGGATTTTGGGGGTCCTGTAAGGGCAGGCCCTTCCGCCAGAAAAAACTGCCAAACTATAGCCAAAGCTTGGAAAAGTCAACCCTAGGTAAACTGACCTGAGGAGGTGTACCTAGCATTTTGGCGCCTTTACCACTTTTCAAAGTCTAGGTTAATCTAGGGGAACCCTAGACAACAGCAAACAAAAAAACTATTTTGGGCATGCTGAACTGCCAAAATCGGTTAAGGGGTAAAGGCTCAAAGGTTCGGGATGGGGGCTTCACATTTTGGACCCACCTGCAACACGACATCCCAGATTTGTTTTCAAAACGATCTCCCCTCTGCTACCCTGGCGATGCACTGAGAAGGATAACATAGGGTCCCCATTAGGTGTTGGGAAAATTTGGAAGATTCCTACATGCATGCAAAGGGTGCTTTGGCCTCAACCATTGTCACAAGGCTCTGAAATCTAAACTGATTGCAAATTGCAAGCATCAGACAACTACAGCAAACACTGGATTGGGTCCTTCCCAGAACCCCAGACCTAAAGTTTGCATGCTAAACCATGAAGGCTCAACCCTTTCGACCCTGAAACGACAAGGACCGAACAACTACAGCACAGCTTGCATCCTAGCGGCCACGGCATCCGGGCGGATCTTGTAGGTGCCATCTGAGGGCATCTCCGCGTCGCTCAGCTTGTTGATATACTGGTCCTTACATGGGAGCACATATATGATTACTACACAACAGTTTCAGTTGAGGGTAAAGCACAAAACCAAAATTCTGCCAATACCATTTGTAGGTTCAATCTTGTACTTGCGGTAGATGCCGCCACCGGTGGAGGAGGCGCTGTACTTGGGGTCCTTGCCATCGCTCTCCCTGTTGTACTTCCTGCGCTTGCCAAAATGGTTGTGGACCAGGGGCCGCACAGCAAAACACACCTTGAGCTGGGTGTTTTTGAAATGAGGATAGTTGCAACCATGAAGGACAACGGCCATTCACAAATCAACATACCAGAGTGCACAAGTCTGCATGACTGATCTACTCAGGGACGACGAGTTTAAGCTCTAAGGCCAGAAACCGAGCCTGTCTCGTTTACAAAGCTTTTCAACCCCACTATGTGGGGTTTCCAAAATTTGGGGGTCCCTCCTTTACAACCCCCCCAACAAACAGACCCTGACGTGCACACCTCCTGAAACCTGAACCTCCTCCGTAGACGCCCGAAAAATTACCGATGCTTTGTGACTTCATTTAAAAATACGGGGCTATCCTAAACTACAATCATACAAAGAATCTGGCATCTGGGACCACGATTTTGGTAATCATTCAGGCCCCTGTATACTTTTACGTTTTGCCGGTCCTGTAGTAGGCCTTGGCATAGGCGAACTGCTGCTCCTTGGTCTTGCAGTCCACACGGATGTCGCAGCCCTGCCACACGAGTAGGGGTTTGCTGGAGTCTAGGATGCCAGGTACACAAGCTTGGCTCGGCACAACCTCAAGGCCTTGATAAAAAAAATTGGTAACTTTGAAGAGTAAACCCACCAATGCACGCAATTTGGTGTTTGTTGTTTATTACTAATTCTCGCCAATTTTGCCAGCATGAGACGCGGTTAGAACATGAATATCAAATAATTAGTCATGACGATAACAATATCGACAAATACGTCGGTCCTTTACTGTTCTAATGACAAGAATACGGCTAAACGAAAAATGAGAATAACAACGCTTAGAATAATACTTATAATAAAGGCTGCTAGTTATGATGATTTCTCGTATTGTAATATTTTCTTATGTTGTTATGGTTATTGTTATCACAATTCTTGATCTTGCTCTGGTGTTCAGCGTCGTAAGGCTTAAGGGTTTACTTGATCTCCCCTCGAGCCCTCACAGAAATGCGTTTAGCAGTGTAGTGGGGGTCTATAACACCAACAACAACAAGTACGTAACTGTTTTTGGCGCATTCTTTGTTTAGTGTTTAAACCCTCCAACATGGCTCCCTGTGTTTTTTTTTCGGGGTGGGTTTGATTTGCACGTCCTCTTTGGGGATCTCTCAAAAGAGGCGCTCATAGGGCCCCAGGAATACATGCTTGCGCGCTGGCGGACGCCGTCCCGCGTAGTGCGTTTGGGTTTGACTCTGGGGGATATGAGAAGGGGACTGATGTAGTAAATCATAACAAAGCGTGTACTAAGATTTTTCAGAAGACCAGTACAAAAGATTGTACAGAGGAATTAACGAAGGAATTGTATCAATTGATTTGGCCCCTTTGCAAAAGTCAAAGATACAGAGCTTCTAGGTTGGGCTTTGTCCAAAAAAATGGGAATCACTTTAGCCTATGCGTGGTCAACTTGTAAAGGGTGTAATTCAAGTTATGTGAATCTTGGGCATGGAAAGTTTGTAAAGCAACGGGTGAAATTGTGCATTTGTTCGTTTTATGAAAAGTCTGAGGGCTTGGGTCGTTGCCATCCAGTTGTCATTTTTAAACATGTTGTTGTCCTTTAACGTCTATCCTCCAATCTAAGAGCAAGTACTTTGTCATTTGGGAGCCGATTGCCTGTCGCGGCAAATTCCCCAAAAACCGTACCTTATTGCCTTTGGGCTGTCACAAGCTCTATTCACGCCGCTGCTGTGCACAGAACCATTTTCATTGGAGTGGACCACAGCTTATTGTTTGCACAAGTTCATGGAAGCAACGTGGTGAACGAACACTTTTGGGACAAAAAAATTAGCCACTGTTGGAAAGGCGGCTCCCTACAGGTGTCCTTGAGTCCGGAAAGGACTTGGAAGTACAATGGCTCTGGACAAGGACATGTGGGATGACACAACATGTCAAGGGTTCGGGGGATAACAAAATGACACAAACACATGAACAAAAACATGCCGCAACAAATGACAGCTATAAGAAAAAAAATGTGACCTTGTCTTGGCGAAAGCAATGCATTTCTAGACCTTTCATGGCCATTTTAGTAGAATTTCGCGACGTGCAGCTAAGCCAACTTGGGATGATTTTCTATGTAGACCAGCATTTGGGGTGAGGTCGGGTGAGGTCGTTACATTTCGCAAAGTTTGATTTCTTTTGGAAAATCTGTTTAGGTTTCTTGGGCCTTACTGATTTTGGCCCTGCATCCATGCTAGCCCCCTGAAGAGAGCGGTCCTTGGCCAGGATCTCCTCATCTGTGGGCGCCTGGTGGATGAGGCTCAGGGCTTCAGGTTTAGGGTTTAGGGTTTAGGGTTTAGGGCTTCATGTGCTAGTTTTGAATTAGGAACAAAGGAATGGAAAGGGAAACGACTAAACATAAATCCATCAGTAAGATTGGGGTCCCTGAAAGCCTAAGTTTGGTTCTTATTCAGAGAAATATGATCGGGATCGTTCCGAAATACTTTCAGGAAGCAGGGGCTCGGTTTAGGGTTTAGAAGGAACCTCCCATATTCACGGGTCCTATGTGCAGTCATCTAGGGACTATTTCGTTCCGGGTCCTAATTGCAACCTTCAAGACATATGTCCCTCAAGGGTCCCCATACAAACCCAGAAGCTAGGTCCAATGTCAATTTTTGCACCCAACTTCTTCGTGAGCACAAACCCCCGAGTGCAGTAAGACGAAGGGTTTTGGGTTGCCTTCGATCATGACCATTTTCAAATGTCTTCATGCCCCACCTGGAAATACCTCTAAGCCTGCAAATGCCCAAAAGCCTGAACTTTGGGCTCTGAAACGTAACCCCGTGATCCCAAACCCCAAACTCGGAAAAAAGGAACGGAAACCCTGAACCCCAACACGCTGACTTCTTAATTTCGATTCCATTGTCCCAACCTCAAACCCCATACATCCCTATCGCTACAAAAAAACCGTGGAAAACCCTTTCGCAACCCTAAACCCTAAGCCCCTATCCCGTTATATGAGTCCCTACGAAGATCACCCGCGGGAACCTTGGCTGCTGGCGCTGCGTCCTCAGCCAGGACTGGAGAGGCGGATGCCACGCTCAGTACCAAACCCAGGACGAGGCCGCCCTTTAGCGCTTCGGGTTTGGGGTTGAGTATTTAGGGTTTCGGATTTAAGGCTTGGGGTTTCTGTCCGCAACCAAATGAGGCAAAATTGGAACATACGTCAAGGGCCGTGCATGCTGAATTTTTCAAAAATTGACGCTTGAAGAGTCTGGGAGTTTAAGCGTGCAGGTTTCAAGGTTGAAGTGTTAAGGTTTTCGGCCTAGGTGTATAGGGTTTGGGGTCCAGGAGTTTGAAGGATCTGGGGTTTAGGACCTAGATGCTGGGGTTTCGGGGGTTGTGGTTCAAAGGTTTGGGGTTTGGGATTTAGACTTTACGTAGACCTTGCGGGTTTGGGGGTTTAGGGTTCGGGTTCAAGGGTTGTGGGCTTATGGCTTAGGATCTCATAAGCCCTATAGTTTCCAGGTCTTTCCCCTCTTGCCATTTGATTTTCCATCGTTGGACCCTACACTTTTTATATATCCCCATAAACCAGCCGCACCTGAAGGAACGATTCGGTTTAGGTCGTGAACAGTGAAAATCTGTCGGAAGTCATCAGGATCAGATCCGCTTGGGGTGAGCTGCGAAGTGTCCAAAACATCTCAGGTTTAGGGTTTAGCACACACACCATATCATCACTATAGCTAGTTTTCGGGCTAAGGGCCCAAAAACAATCTGGAAGAGGATAATCTTTGGGAGCTTGAACAAACAACTAAACGCGGCATCCATGAACCCTCAACGCAACGCTACTCCCTCCCTCGACCCTATGAAAGTCCTGAAGGCGCAAAGCAAAGCCCCTAATCTAAACCCCACACTCCGGAGGCCACAAGCCGCTGAATCCCTCATCTCCTACACCCCCACATCCTTCAAACTGCCTCAAAACCATAACTATACCTCACGCAATTCCCAAACCTACTTGGGAGTTTCCGGAAATTAGGGGTACCTTCTTGGGGGTCCTCATAATAAGGATTATAGTATATTGGGGTCTATATTGGGACCCCCCTATTTGGGGAAACTACCACTTAGCCGTGCCTTTGCTACATTACTTGTTTTATCATCTGCCCTTTGTTCCTGGAGTGTACACGTGGGAACTGGAGCGCTCCAGGTGAAATGGCATATGCCCTGAAGCCTTGATCCCCATGGAACCCGAAACCCAAACCCCTGAAACCTTGACTTTAGGGTGTACCTGAACCCCAAAGGGATGTAGAATGATTGCCCTTCGGGGCATATTTAGGCGTTTTGGGCTACTTTTTTACCTACTCTTGGGGTCCAGGTAGGGTTTAGCCTTTAGGGTTGTGCCGTTAATATGTCAGTGATCGTGTATGCACATACCAGGCCTAGAACCCTGAACGTGTATGGGCTTAGGATTTAGGGTTTAGGGGTTTAGGGTTTAGGAGTTTAGGGTTTAGGGTTTGGGGTGTAGGGTTTAGGATGGTTTAGGGCTATACAATGACCTATACACTGAGATATCGCTACAAAAACAATGCTTCCATCATTACCATCATGACCTCTCTAGGCAATCCAACGCCCTAAGCCCTAGATCTTAAATCTTAACTCCAACACCTTAAATCCCGAACCCTAAAACCTAAACCCTAAATCCCAGATCCTACATCCCAAACCCTAAAAAACTAAACCTTAAGCCCTAAATCCAAAGCCTCAAACCCAACCCTAAACTCTAAACCCTAGAGCCCAAAAGCCCTCGAACCTTAAAACCCTCAACCATGAGCCCTAAAAACCTAAACCCTAGACCCTAGAAGCTGAAAACCCTCAACCTTAAGCCCTAAAAACCTAAACCCTAAGCCCTAAATCCTAAGCCCTAGACCCCAGAACCTTAAAACCTTCAACCTTCAGCCCTACAAACCTAAACCCTAAACCCTAAGCCCTAAATCCAAAACCTTAGAACTTTAAAACCTTGGGCCAAGCCACGAAGAGCCCCTGCAGCGAGCTGGTGGTCGTGGCCTCCTCGGACGGGCGCGAGGCCTCGGCCTGCGCGCAGAACGGCAACCGGCCGAGTTGCATTTCAAGGGGCTGGGTTAAGGATTAGTGACCCTAAACCCTAACCCCCTTAACCCTAGATTAGCGATAAGGATTTAAGGGCTTGAAGTGTAGGGTTTGGAGTTTAGGGTCTAGGGTTTGGGGTTCGCGGGTTTTCAAGGAAAACGCTAGGCTTATGGGTTCACTTTACAGGGAATGTAGGTTTTTTCTGGGGATAGATGGTGTTTTCGCGGTTGATCCTCTATCAATCGGAGGAAGGGAATTTCTAGGGGTGTATGGGATTTAGGAGCTGCTTGGTGTTTCCCCTTCAAACGGCCTGTGGGTGCTGTAGAATGATATAAAAATACATATGTATGTGAAAGGTTATCGGAGGTCTAAGGAATTAAGGTTTAGGGTTCCAAAGGTACCCGAAGTCGGAAAGCGATGAAACACTTCGAAGAGGTTTTGTTGTGATTT